CGGAACTTGTGGCCTTTTGGTACTAGCCCATCCATACGGAGATTTTCGGGCACCCGAGCTTGCCTGCAAAGCTGAGTTACTAAAGAAGGGAAAAAGAACCCATACCTTTTTACTGGGCAGCGAACGAACATTTCGTCGTGCATCACTTTGGCTACATCGAAGTTAAGACCTTTGATGAAACACCAAATCAAAGCAGCTCGGGGTCCATTTACCTCCGTAGTGTTGGAGGACGGAATCAGACGATTGTTAATCAAATGCAACTAGCACTTTGCTTCAGAGGTTAGTGCCGATGAGTGAAACTTCTCACCATATTGCATTCAGACCACCTCTTTCCCGGGTACACAGATCGAGTCAAAGAATCGCTCCCACTTTACGTCTGTTGGGTGACGGCCATACTCATAAAAGTCATCATAATCAGGCACAGGCCGGGGCAGATGGTACGCCGTCCGTATCGCCTCAATAGAGGCATTCACTGCCTTTCGGCGCACTGTGACTATGCCATTATCATGCTCCGGCACATTAGCGTAAAACTCTCTCACAACCATTGCATTGCCCTACCCTGGCTCATTAATGAAGGTCTGCAACCCCCGCCTCACCAACTCAGTGTACATGTGAGGACAGTGCTGCTGGACTGAACCTATGTCAATACCCCTCTCCAGAATCGGCTTTTTAGTTGCCTTCTCCGCAAGCGGTCCTGAGCATTGGCTGAGACAAATTTGTTACTGTCAAAATGGCGTGCAGGGGCTGCACCTTGTGTCCTGGATGAGCCGGCTTGGCTGCTAGAGGATGGACCTGTGGCGCGGCATTTTCGAGACGGGGCCATGATAACTGAAAAACGGGAACACATTAGCACAGCCCAACACAAAAGTGTGACGCACTGCGGTTACTCAGACTTCACACGCATAAGTGGTCACAACTACATAGTTACTTTCATTGAGGCCTTTCCACAAACACCTTGTGGGCATTAGGCATTCACAATCCCGTTTAAGCAATTTATATCATCAACCCACCACACAATCTCACCAAAATTACAAATCAAGTGGAACAACACCCCACACTTACCACCCACAAACACCACAGCATATGTTACCAATTTTGCTACACAAAAACAAAGAAAAACTACTACAAAAAAACATTCTAACACAAACAAAATTCTGAAAAATAAAAAGAAAAAGAAAAAATAAAACTAGGGCTCATACCTATAATGTTAGAAGGTGGGGAGTAGAGAAGGAAGGTATGGAAGAATGTGGGTAAGGTTATGAGGGGAAGGGGATCGCTTATGGGGAGGGGGGTTTTTGGCTTTTCTGATGTTTTGAGGAAGTGGGTCTTGGGGTTTTACGATGGGGGAGAGTAGAAGAGGGAGTCGGATTGGGATTAAAGAGGGTGGGGGTTATTAGATGGGGGAGGGGTAATTTAGACTAAAGAAACAAAAAACAAAAAATTAACATAAAATAAATTAAAACAACCAAACCGTTAGTTTTTAGGGCGGGACTAGCGCGCCCACTAGCGCGGCCGCGCTAGTCTAGGCAGAATGTGGTCAATTTAGCGCGGTCACTAGCGCGATCGCGTTAGTAGCACGGCCAGTAGCGCGGTCGCGCTAAAATTTTTGAGCCCAGGCAGAATGTCACCCAATTAGCGCGGCCTGTAGCGTGGGCGCTCTACTGGGCGATTTTTTTTCCATGTTTTTCACCTGTTCTCACCATTGTCGATAGCCTTATTGTCCGCCCTTTCTCACCTGCATTGGTTAGTATGTTGTAAAATCTCACAATTAGCAACTACAACTATTGTTGTGTTGCCTCCCAACCAGCGCCTGATTTAAAATCGCGGCACGACGGTTACAACAAATCGTTGGGTTGCCTCCCAACCAGCGCCTGATTTAACGTCGCGGCACGACGGTTACAACAAATCGTTGGGTTGCCTCCCAACCAGCGCCTGATTTAACGTCGCGGCACGACTCAACACATTTTTAAGCATCTGCCAAGTCCACCGAGGTCTTGTGACGTGCAATGTCACCACCCCAATAATGTTTTATCCTCTGGCCATTTACCAAGAAGGTACCACTTGAGCTCATATCCCGCAATTCCACAGCTCCATGAGGCCTCACACTTACCACAACAAAAGGGCCTGACCAACGAGACTTAAGCTTTCCGGGAAAAAGCATCAACCTCGAATTGAACAAAAGAACTTCTTGCCCCGGCTCAAACTCTCGATGTTGTATGCGCTTGTCATGCCACCTCTTAGTCTTTTCTTTATACAATTTGGCATTTTCATACGCGTGCAATCGAAACTCATCAAGCTCGTTGAGTTGCAGCAACCTCTTCTCACCAGCTAAGTCCATATCCATATTCAGCTTTTAAATTGCCCAATAGGCCTTGTGTTCAAGCTCGACGGGAAAGTGACATGCCTTCCCATAAACTAATTTATACGGAGAAGTACCTTTGGGAGTCTTGTATGCAGTTCAATATGCCCATAATGCATCGTCTAGCTTCCCGACCCAGTCCTTTCTATTTCCACTTACTGTTTTCTCCAGAATCTGCTTTACCTCTCTGTTTGACACTTCCACTTGACCACTCGTTTGGGGGTGATAGGCAGTGGAAACCTTGTGCTTAACTCCATATTTTGCAAGAACATTATTCAGCAATTTGTTGCAGAAGTGCGTTCCTCCGTCACTTATCAACACTCTTGGAGTTCCAAGGCGTGTGAAGATGTGTTTCTTGACAAAGCTTACCACAACCTTTGCATCATTAGTGGGAAGAACAATGGCCTCCACCCACTTAGAAACATAGTTGATCGCCCCCAAGATGTATCTGTGACCATTAGAGTATGGGAATGGTCCCATGAAATCGATCCCCCACACATCAAAAAGCTCTACTTCCGGTATATTCTGCAAAGGCATCTCATGCTTTTTAGTGATCGTTCTAATTCTTTGGCATCTGTCACACATTTTAACAAAGGCATGTGCATCCTTAAACAATTTAGGCCAATAGAAACCTAATTGTAGAACTTTCTGGGCAGTTCTATCTCCACCGTGATGTCCTCCGTATGGCGAAGCGTGACAGTCATGCAATATTGCATTCATCTCTTCCTCAGGAACACATCTCGCACCAACTGATCTGCGCA